AAAATTCAAATTAATCAGACTTTAAATTAAATACGTGACATGATTAGATAATTTTTGTTTTTGAAAAGATAGGTGGTGGTAAATTAGGGCACACATGTCTTGACCTTTTATTAGGCAACAAACCAAAGACAAAATAAATGAAGGTGATTGAGCTTTTATACAGGCCACACGAATATCTAACTTCATGGAATGGTTGAGATTCTTTCACTCTTAATCATTCGAAATTTTGGGTGTGAACCCGAGTACGAAATTTTTTTTTGTTGAAAGCGTCACCCCAAAAAAATAAACCCTATAATGCATAAATCTGAATTAGTTTAATTCTAAATTCTAAATATTGATCACAACTCACATGTAAAAAGATATGAGCGTTTGCCTAATACAAATTAGAAGTGTTCTGTCAAATGAACTGTTTCAGCGCAATGGCTAAAAAGAAATTTCATATGCAATTTAAGATATTATTACTATCTTATGAGCAGCTTGCTATACTCAATTAGTGTTTTTCTTTAGTCTATCATAAGCAACCAAGCGGAAGTAAGTTTCTCTCTTTCTATTTGCTTAATATGCAATTCACTCCGAGCCGAGTCATTGTTGGGGTTGGGTTGGTTGATCGTCCAAAAATTATTCTTATCCCATCCGTTAGGTTTGTATGTATCCACGCTCCTGCTTATTATTTTCTAGAACCTCATGAACTATCCTTTCCGATAGAGATTACAAAAAATGTATATATATATTTTTTTTTTATACAAAAAATGTATACTCTCTGTTGCAAATGTTAAAAAAATAATTCATTTTAAAAGTTTTTATTAATATTTTAAGATTCAAAATTCATAAAATTAAAATTCTAAATTCTACAAAATTAATGAATACCAGTTCTGTGGGAAGAAAATGTGATTTTTTTGTCAATTCATGTACACATCACATGGCTAGAAGGGCATCTAAAAAAATATTTTTTTATATTAATAATATAGTAACAAATATATTATAGAAGGAAATTCAGTTAACAATTAAAATAAAGTAAGGAAAATTTTCAATCACACTTCAGATTTTATGCATCGATAAAATCATTTAATTAAGAGAAATTTTCAAAAATGATTATAGTTTGGGAGAGAGAAGAGTGATGCTAAATACATGATGTATTCGACGAATATAATTTTTATCTACGAATACAATCTAAATTCGATACATACAGATTGCTAAAAATTGATAAATACAAGCTGACACAATTGGTAAACAATACCATGGCATTGTATCATATGTTTGAGAGGTGTACTTAGAACTTAAAGTATGTGAGAACATAATAAGCATAATTTTATTAAATAAACAGACCTTTTCATACCAGTCCTTCTTTATAACAATAATTTGTTATAACAATCTAGCTCTTTTAGAATCGATGTCATAATATGTTATATAAAGAAAACTCAAATGTATTTATATATTTAGTTTATAAGTTTATTTTTTTTTATATATGTACATATATTAAACCCTATATATATATAATGCCTCCTAGTCTCCGACATTCATAAACCAATTATAGTTTCACTTTTCCTTTTAACAACTAATCATTGAATATGAACTTTTACTTGTCAATTTTTGAATTAATACACCTATTAAGAAAATAATTATTGGCATAGTGAGTTTACCATTTTATCTCTATTAATTATGAAGTGGATAAATAAAAAATTTAAGATTTTCAAGAAGTTCTACATTTTTCGAAGTAATTAATTGAGGGTATAATAGGTAAAAAAAATTTGTCCTTCCTTGATTTGTCAAAATGAACAAGTAATTAGAGACAACTAAAAAAAGATAAGTGGACAAGTAATTAGAAACAGATGGATTACTTAAAAAGACTTTGGTGCAACTTGACATATACATTTAATTAAACAAAACTCTAATAATTCTTTGAATGATGATGTTATTTTACTATGGTCGGTAATGTTGTATTACATCATTGGGTTCGTCATTATTTTAATATCTATTTATCAATTTACTCATGACAATATACAACCATTTTATTGACTTTTATACATGATGTCTAATTGTAAAATTATTATTCATTTGTTGCAATGGTGGTCCTCTCTATTCATTATTTATAACACATTAATGTTTAGTGGAACTGTATGGGCGGAGCTAGCAAGAATCTCGTGATCATCCGAACCCTCTTCTTTAAAAAAATTATTGTTTATATATAGTTAAGATCAGAAGCGAAGCAAGAATTTTAATTTTATGAATTCTGAATTTTATAATAATGATTTCAACTGTTGATAATTGGGTTATAAACTTCATATATGTACATATTTGACAACACACTATTTGAGCAAAAGTTACTGGATTCAATCGAATCCGTACGTGGACTTCTAGCTCACCCCTGGTCAAGATTATTTTCATATATATATAGTAAATATTGAACCCTTGGACTTTTTCATGTGCTTGCCTTTTTGTATATATGAACATCCTTCGTGAAAATCCCGATTCCGTCATTGAGTAGAAACATTGCCATCTTGTTAAGATTGAAAATACGAGAAGAAACTTTCTCATTCTAAAGCCTAAAATTTCTACAAGACAACCCAGATACAACAGAAAAATTGTATGTTGTGATGATCTAAAATTTCTACTAGACAATAACTTACATAAGAATTAAGATCATACTCAACTACTTTTTATTAGAAAAAAAGTCTCAAATTAAATAAATGTTGATTGACACAAGAACAATTCATATTGCAATACAAGAAAAAAAAATCACTTATTATGAAAAGTTCCTAGAATAGGTATAAAAATCCCTGTAAATTTTACAGAACTTATGCTCATTACATCACAGTTCAGTCAATATGCCTCAATAATGCAATGGTATCAACCAAACTAAACCAACACCGCGATTTTTTCAATCTGATATCAGTGTATCGAGTTTGCCAGAAGGCCACCTTGGTTATCTTTGAGAAGCTACTGGTAATCATTATGTTTCAAGGGGCTCTGTCAAAGGGCTTAGTATCATTGTAACAAACATCCCAGATAGCTTCCATGGCATCCCTACTCGCGGACTCTGAACAGTTTGGGTTACCAGACATCGATTTCATAACTCTTCGCTTTACACATTCCTTCATAGAGCCAAATGCAGAGGGAAGAAAGTTAGAAACTAATTAACAATTAAGCAACTTTTGTCATACATGTACAACAAAAGGACCTATATAGTTACATACAGACGGTCCATATGCATTGAAGGATCAATTATGAAATGATATTTGGAGACAAACCTAAAAATCCCTCTTTCCAATTCGATTTTATCTTTCCGATAAAACTTATGAATAGCTTGAGAGTTCACAAAATTGTCAACTTCTTTTACCTTTTCATCACATACAGTATCGTTAAGGTACACATTGGGTCAACGGCTAAGGTAGATGGATAATACCTTCTGTCTCGTGAACCCATACAAGTAGTGCAGCATTTGTTACATTCGTTAAAAGGTCCTAGAAAGATTGGTTTCAGGTTTTGTCTTCGGGAAACTTTTGTGCTTATGGACTACCAAGAACTTTTGGATTAACATCAGCCTTAACAATGTAGATGCTTTTATATGGTTAAAATTTATTGGAAAAATCGACTAGAAACTTTTTCCCTGTTACTAAATTTTTCCAGGAATCGCCAAGAGGAAAAACACAAAAAACAAGTCAAGCTCTATCAAACAAAACTAATTGGTTGGGAAAAGGGGAGGAGTGTCTGATTGTAAATCACAGAACACAAAAGGAGAAGAAAAAACATTAAGCCTAACTCAAACCCAGGAGCTAACCCGTGAGGTAAGACTTGTCGAACACCATAAAGAGACTGCAGCGTAGGTTCAACCAATGTGAGACTCTTAACACCCCAGGATTGTCTAAAACCATATAAAGAGACCATAACCCATGTTTTTTTGAAACTAATGTGGGACTCTTACGTCGGGGAAAGAGACTGAGGAGGGGCTGGTTTCCAAACTTGATATGGTCCCTCAAAAAGAAATTACATTTTGAGTAGGACTGAGATACAATGTAGGTCAAAACAGTCAAGATAGGGGGAGAACTTAGTAAAAGTGCACTCAATGATCTAATAGCCTCAGCAATTAAAGACAACGGAAATAACTTTTAAGGCATAAGTATGAAAAGAATGATGAGTTGAATCACTGAGAGAAGAACTTGAGACTTGCAGTAGAAGGAGTTGTCAAGTGACCATGATGTTAAAAATCAGCCCAGGCCCACGAACTACTACGAGAGATTAATGTTAACACGTCTGGTGTAGACATAGAGTTCAAAAAGAGCAAGGCCATTAGTACCATAGCGGCAACATAAAAGGCGATAAACTATAAATTATTCAAACTGGCCAAATGTACAATTTTTTTGAAGCTGTTTATTAAATTGGATAATAAGCCCCCCTCTACTCTTCTCCACTTAAATACAGACTTGTCTAGAGCAGGGTTCGAACTCATGACGTGAGCCTAAACCCACATATCATGTGATGCGCTCTTAACACTAATGATAGACCAAAGCCTTGGGGGCCTGGCAAATGTATAATTCAAGAACTGTATCTTTCACTTCTATAGGTGAAAATCAATGGTTGTGCTAATTAGGGCCTTTATCCTTTGTCTTTAGCTTTCTATCCATATAAGGATATGTAACTCAGAATAATGTCAAACAGCTAAATAAACCGCTCAATTCACACTAAATCCCCTATGAAAAAGAATTAGATACAAGTAATACCAGGATCACGTTTGAGAACACATAAGCCACCAGACAAAGTCAGCATTATAATGCAACAGGCTAGCAGCTAGCATACTAGACAAGATCATCCATAGCTAATTGAAGAATTGGTCCAATACCAGGCAGCTTGAAAGCTTGCAAGAAAAGATATTCCAATGAAAAGATTTTGACATATTATTACATACAAATTTTGTTTCTTGCAGAGTCAATGCTCCACTTATTATTTATTCTATGTGGAATGTCACCACAGCATAAATCTGACATGTCAATAAGAAAGATAAACTACTTCTTATCAAGCTTATTCCACAAAGTGAAGGACACAAGTTCAAAGCTGCTACATATTCGCTTCAGCACACTAAACAGTTCAGTTGGGGGCAGGGGTGTTTCCAATGAGCTCACAGATACAGCTCCATAACTGAGGTGGAGCAAAATACAACTCTACACAGATAATTATAGGAGCAAACATGAATGATCAACAAAACTCACTTGTTCATGGCCCGTATCTTAAGATAACCTCTCAGTAATTCCCGTTTGTAATGGCAATCACCGCTAAGATGGCCAGCTCTGATCTGTAAAAGCAGTTACAAAGAATTCAAGTTCAATAATCGAAGACAACTCAAAAGTACAAGAATTAGTATAAAAGCGACACTTGAGAGCACGAACTTCACTACAAGCATGATGAGCGCAATTAGCCCAGTCCAAGTTTGCAGCACGACACTCATCATATGCATGAATTAACTCATGTATGAGAACTTGATTCACCTCATCTTGAATTTGCATGTGGTTACTGCACACAATTATCTTAATAGCCAAAAAAACAAGATCAGTAAATACTTGAGGATGTAAAGACAACCAACACAATAAGGAAAACAAAGATAACCACACACACATATAGAGTCTGCATATTTTAAATAAATATTAATACAAAGCCCACATCCATCATCACACAGGAGAAGTTAGTGTAGAGGTGTAACTTCAATCCTGAATTCACCTTTGACACCCTATCTACTTCAAAAGGTGTCTGTCCTCCACTGACCCACAATGTTTCAATTGAATTTGGCAACTCCAAGACAGAAAAATTAGCACCACTGTATTTAGAACACAAGAAGAAATGTTCTTCAAATCCACAATAGGCAGAAACTTAAAATTGACCACCTCAACTTCTAATAGAAAGTCCAGGAATAATAAATTATGTTGATTACCCCACGTCCACGAGCATAGCCGCCGCTGATCTTCTGGTCGCAATGGCTAGCTTTTATGAAGTTATCACCAATTCGACAACCAGATTTCTCCAGATGCTCTTTTAAGAACTTTACCATTGGAGCTGCAATAAAAATGCTTACAGTCAACATCATTCAATTACGCTGCAATCTTAAACTAGTTTGTATCAGCTATATGAATCAAGTGAATCCATTCTATTCAAGTCCATTTATTTCAATAGCATGTGAATTTATCTTATAAAGCTTTTGCTTTTATACAATGGTGCTGGATTAGCTTGCAGGTATTTATATGTGCCATCCCATAAGTTGACGCAATTTATCTTTTGAGCTAAATAAAAGTAGTAACGTAAGAATAAAACCAAAAACTAAGAATTAAAATTGAATGGGTGTTAACCACTGAATGTGAATCAAGAAAACTATCAGAGAAAGAGATAGAGAGATGTGAAGAACTTACTTCTAAGACCTCTCCGGATCATTTCTTGGCATTCCTCCACCGTACTTCCTTTGTTGATGGTGGATGACTTCGCCATTTGGTTGTTCGTGTTTCCTGGCTTCTCTCTGCAGAAGAGACATGGTAACAGGTTCACACTTTACAGGCCAACAAAATACCCTTTTGCCTGTCTCACAATCATTCAAGGGAAAAGTCTCAGTTTTATATGTCTCTCTCATGTCGCTAACCTCTTCCCTAAACTTTATTTGTAACTTTGGTAAAGGTATTGCTGATAAATGCGTCATCGACTTCTTGTACATAAAGTGTATCAGCTCTTGCAAGTAGATTTGACAAGTATCCAACTGAAAGCTTTCTCCTCGTCCCCCATTTATTTTATTGCTTTCCTTCTCATAGTCCTCAGTTGTTGTTGTTTGATTCTTAAAGAGTATGAGTTGATTTTTAGTATAGTGTAGGAGATAGAACAATCATGGAATCTGTGTTCTGGATTGATCCAAAGTTAGAACACAAACTTAAGAATGAAACGCAATGGGAGTTGCTATGACAGATTTATGCCTCGGGCAATGATGATTTCCTCTAGGAATGGAATTATATCATATTGTTTCACACAAAATTGACTGCAACTCTAACTTGCCTTTAAGCACTAGAGTAACAACTATATTTCTTATACATTTCAATGCTAATAGGATTATCTCTGTGTCCTAGCAGCACATAGCAATGCTTATAGAGGTATCCCTTTTTCATTTTTTTCTGCATTTCAGTTTTCTTGCAGAAGTGGCAAAGAACAAACATTGTGTTTGAAAATAAAAAAAAACAAGCAAAACGAATTTATGTATTCACCGCTATACGATTTTAGGAGACAAGACTATGACTATGAATGTGATACCAACTACGCCAATTACGATTTCTCTCCATTAAACTTGAAGCTAGTTTCTTAGTCAATCCTCTACTCTTCCTCTCAAGTATCAAACCTCGTTTATAAAGAATTCCTTTGAGCTAGACTTTCACTAAAAGGGTATCTAAAACTGCTCGATTTGGGGAGAAGAACATATGATGGGAGTAGCTTCTTTTGGGGGGGGGGGGGGGGGGATGGCAAGTACAGGAAGGAGGGAGATTGTAAAAGATACCTAAAGTATTTCTTTTTCTATACAATGAAGTATTCCATTAGTTACAGGAAGAATCAGTTATCAAATACTAAAAAGGAATCAATTTAGGAAAGATAAAGGACTATTAATCCTCCACCTCAAAGAACAATGCCTACCTTGACCTAAAGCCCGAATTTAGTATTTTAGAGCATGGTTTTGGCCTTTTCTCCAATATAAAGCAATACACCCTACTCTTATTTATAGATGTATCTAATTCAACTGATAATCTAAACCACTAAATCGATATTGTTATAACAAACATAATGAACTAAAATGCTTTATCATGATTTTTATATTATTTTGCTTCACTTCCATTATTTCTTTTCTCGATCTACTTTTATATGCTTTTGCTTGAGCAAGGGTTCTATCTACTAGACTCTACTTGTGGGATTACACTGGAAATATTATTGTTGTTGTTAACATAATGAACGAACTACACTAACAAACAGTAGTAGTAGCAATCAAATTATGGAAATAATCGTACCAAATGAAAAAAGAAAACCTACATCTCAAAATCCAAAAATAGCCTCTCTTTTTAAAAAAAAAACAGTGAGCATTTTTTTTAGAGAGAGAAAATCAACGGCATGAAGAGGAGAAGAGAGAGTGAACTCACCGGAGAAGTTGCCGGCGTTGCTTTGATGACGGAAAATGACGAGAGGTTTTTGAGGGGTTTGAAAGGGATTTGGGGGTTCTGCAAATTTCCTCTCAAATGTACATTTTTTGCTCATCAAATATTCATGTTTTAGTGGGTTATACACTTCTACTTATTTTCATTAATTGGGTATTTTAGATTATTTTATTGTGATAGTAAAAAGGAAAGCTCGAGTTGTGGGTAGCAATTGAGCTGATTGAGTTAAATTTGAACGAGTCATAATGAGGTAAGACAATAATTGGATCAAAATCAAATCCATTCAAATTTGCTTCGATCAAAATGAATTACATTACGGGTCAAGACCCAGCTCAATTCAATTTTTAGTAAATTTAATTATTTATTTGTTCTTTTAAACTATTTTATTACGGCTCTATACAACATTACAAATTGAAACAAAAAAAGTTTCTTAAAAATATTTTGATAGGAATTTTCATGAGTCAATTTGGGATACATGTCAAACCAATTTTTTAATGGATAATGAAAGAGTGGGTTATGTAAACGGGTTGAACAGGTTGGGTTTATTTGCCATGCCACCCCTAATATTAGTGTTTCAATAGTGTGGAACTCGATAGCTTGATTTAGGGTTTTTCAATGCATATTGAATCAAGTAATGGAGCTTGAAGAATTATCACCAACTTCAACTACAGATTCAACTATTCAACTCATTCGTCCAAACCTATTGCATTTGCAGTCGTATAAACAAACTCACTGCCCTTATAATGGAAATAAACACCAAGACTAGATTGTTGAGCACACCAACGCAATCACTAATTCTAGATTTTGAATGACACATCAAAACAAGAAGCGGGAATATAATCAAAGTCATTTAATTTCTAGCATCTGCCTCAAAAAAGTTTCCAAAAGTAAAATCAAGGTTTGTCAACTAGATCCATTACTAGACCAAAAAAAACTTCCTAAAGTAAGCTCAAGGGATGCATAGAGAACAAGATTGTTTTCTTCTAATCAAATAGACTGAATCCCATATCCTCATCTTCTGATGCCTCTTTCTCCTCCTTCTTTTCTTCCTTCTTCTCCTCAGCAGGGGCTGCAGCAGCTCCACCGGCAGGGGCAGCAACTGCAACAGCACCACACCAGAAGGTACTGAAGCCAACTTTTCTCTGCCAGCAGCAATCAGCTCTGTGATATCTTTGCCATCAACTTGAGACAAGAGCAGTTGAATTCTGTCATCATCAGCCTCAGCACCAACTGCAGACCACATCAACCACAAATGTGAGTGTGCAACAAACAACCAGCCATTTAGCATGTGCACGGGTATAATAGTGTTACTGATAGAAGCAGAGAATTACAGATTATCAGCTCAAGACTTCTCCAAGAATTAACGACTGTAAAACAATGATTGTGCATTGCCTTGTACATGAAACTAAGACTAGATGCTATTCCTATCCAATGTATACATATGAGAGATACACCATAACACTATAATCTCATTGCAGGTTAATGGAAAACAATAACACCATGCTCACTTCTACCAAACTTAAAAAAGGAATACAGGGACTAGCAACACACTTGAAGTCTACCTCATTCATTAACAGCCTGGAAAGTATAGAGTAAATATGTTAACTACATCAAATTTCATAGCACCAGCCGCACCCCAAAAGTAAAGACTTATTATTTGAAAAATTGAACCATTTAATACTACAACATTATTTTAAATATTTTTTTGTAATTCTTAATAACGCAAATCTTATTTCAAGAAGGCAACAAAATCAATGTCAGGATTCATACATCTAAAACCCCTCCCTCTTTCTATTTGGATGTAAGGCATACTTAATCTTCAATCCCAGTCCACCTTAAGTAGCTTCTGGTACTCTCCGCACATAACAAAGCTTCAATTTTTATACCAATATATTACTCTATTGCCTGTTTAGATGATTCTAGACAACTAATGGGTAAACAAACAGCATACACTCACATTTTTCAAAGACCCGGTGGCCAAAAAGAACTGGCCCAAAGGTAAAATCTACTCACTAACAGTATGTATATGAACATTATTTGTTTAAGAAAAATTTTATATGCTAAACCCCATGCCCCAAATCCCCTTACCCATGAATCACACAATGGCCTTTACCAGTTTGCTGCCTCAAACACACAACAAAGACTGAGAAACCAAGCTATTAGGGTTTTCGGTATGGATCATCAATATACATTCTGCTCCATCCATACCCCCATTTCATTGTAATACTCAATAATTTAACATGTTTTCAAATAGTACATATATCTATCTCTCCATTTTGATATTCAATTAACATCCTGATTACACCATTTTATCAAAACATCACTTAAATTTAAACGGAAAAAAAAAAAAAAAGGGGTTAATTTTTTTACCACAACCGAGGATATTCTTCAAGTCTTTTGCTGAAGGTGACGCGTTACCACCCAAAACAGCCAACAAATAAGCAGCAATAACCTTCATTTCTTCTTCTTCTTCTTCTCTAACAGAAAACACGAGAAATATTAGATACATAAATTGAAAACACAATACGAAACGGCTAAAGTTATGAATCAAGAGAGAGCAATTACTGACGAGAATTGGAAGCTACGAGAAACTTCTTCAATGGTAGATTTGGGACAGCTACTAGGGTTTCGTAATGGTGAATAATGCGGCAATTTATACAGTTAGGGTTTGGTAGGGCTAAGTGGAGGTGATTGCGGGTTGTTTGATTCGACCCGGAATATTACGTGAGTTTACATTTCTGCCCTTCCATTTTCTTCTGATTTCTAGATTGACTGTTTCTGCTTCTTTTTTGTAACATTATTTTGTTCTATTTATTTACTAATATACAAAAATAAAAATATCTAGATTGATTAATATCTCTAGATTATGCTATTTTTATTAGTATATCTATTTAATTTTTTTTAAATAATCACTATAATAAATTTAATTAAGCTTCTTAATTTTAGTTTATATATTTACGGACGGTAGTTATAGTTTAAGTTCTTCATTTGTATAATTCATGTGTATTGAGTTGTTTCGTCCATATTTGTGTAAACTGATTAGCATCAATTTATTTGTATTCATTTTTGTATAAATTTAATTGAATCAATTGATAATTATAATTTTGGTGAATTAACTGTTTATGTAAATAAGTTATTTCTGGTTGTATAAACAGAATTTACTAATTTGCCATTTATATATTTTGTATAAGTATAATTATGTTGATAAACTTTTACTTATATATTTTATATAAAGAAAATATACAATTAGAATAACTATATACGATTATGGATTTATACAAATATGAATACAACTGTAGATTTAAAATTGATTTTTTTTCTTCAGTAATACAAATTTCAAAATTATATAAATATTGATAAAACTCAAAAACAACAATTTATACAAACACAAACATCTATATTTTGAACAATAATACAAACTATATAATACTAATACCATTACATAAAAATTATACAAATTATGTTATACAAATTTCAAAAACTACACATTTATATAACTCAAACTTGACTGCGTAATTTTTCATCATGTAGGGAGGAAAGATACGTCTGTACTCAGCTACAAAATCTATTTATAAAATTATACAAATTTCAGAAACTACACGTTTATA